CCCACCCACCCCTTCTGCCTTTTGTCATCTTTATTAACTGGCTTTGGTGTTATTACTGCACTTGAAAAAGCGACTCACTAAAAAAAACACGAAAAATAAATAAATGAAAAAGAAAAGTGAGCAGAACTGATCTGAAAATTGTGGAGCGTTGATGCTCTCTTTGCGCTCAGCTGTGTGCTGATTCCACGGGAGCAGCTGTAGGGCTGGTGTAGTGTCTCTGTATCGAGTTCAGCTGGAGAGTTTCCAGCCATGAAAGGAAACAAGAAGGTAAATAGGAAATGCACGCGGGATGCAGACAAAGGAAATGATTATACAACCACCCTGTTTCCTCTCTCAGAGCAAAAATGACTAAACTTGAATCAGCGGGACTCTGTGGGGCTTAAATGGAGACTAAAGAGTGCAGAAAAGTCTCTGGTGATGTATTTAACATGGCAAGTAATCTCTATTTCCAGTATTTCAAGTCAAGTAGCTCACCTTCTTTGGTTAAATAGTGCAGGTGCACCTTTGGTTTATCAAAGGAGGCTCTGTTTGTCTGGTTGTGTTTCTCTCTGTAGCTCCAAAACACTGAAAGACATATTAATTGGGACAATGGAGGAGGCCGGAGGGCACACACACACACACACTCCTACACACACAGGGCAGATCAGATTATCATGCAGAAAGACGGGTTTTTCCCCCCGCAGCCTCGGGAAGCCATCAGTCATCAACTCCTTTTTATTACTGGACGTTATTCCCTTTTTTCTCCCCTGCATGTTTTTATATTTGCTGCAAGATGTGTTTCTCCGCCGCGCCATTCAGGAAATCTGGGTATAAACTTTTAACGAGGCAATCAGTCGTGAGGCAGAAGAGCGATGGGGTTTACGATGCTGCCTTTATGATTCCAGTGAGCAGGAAGTGGGGTTATACGTGTCAGGGTGTCTGTCCTGCCCCGGCGGCGGCGGCAGCTCGTAGCCTATGAAAGGAGCTCGGACATGAAACGTTACCTTGTTTCAGCTCTGGGGAATATAAATCGCACACTGTTTGGCTCTTTCGTTCTGATGCCCCCCCCTTCCCCGCCCCAGCCCTGTGGTCAGCTGTGAACTGCTACCCGAGAGACCAGGGCAAAGGCGTGCTGGCAGCCAATGAAAGCGAGGAAGGCTGGGGTTGTGCCCGTGACTCGTCGCAGCGACCGCAGGAGCGCCCGCCGCTCCGCTCGGCCAAGATTTGGAAACCAGACGTCGTCTTTACCATCAACTGCTGCTTGGGATCAGAGAAAACATTCATTTGAGCAACCTTTGGGGCGATTTTACCAGGCAAGTCCCACTGAGGGATTTTTCGAGGAAGGCCTGGGCCTGAAGGCAAGCTAACGTCTTTTGTCTGTGAGAGGGAACTGGAGTACCCAGAGAAAACCCACGCAAGCACGAAGAGAAACAAACGCTACACTGGGGTTGAGCAACATAAAAATGTATCTTGACTAACTGTGGCATTTAGCTGGTAATGATTAACATGTGGTGGTGTTTCAAGTGAATAAACGAGTTCATCAAACCCAGGACCTTCTTGCCGTGGCACATCAACGCTAACCACTGATCCATCGTGTTGCCAATCAGCAAAGCCTCAACATTCTTTTCATAATTTGGTCCGACCAAAGTCAAGTGAAGGCCACACGCTGGGGTTTCAGTTAGGGATGCACAGTATGTCTGCATTAATATCGGTTTTGGCCGATATTGGTCATTTTTTAAGAATATCTGCATCGGTTCAATATGTAAAACTGGGCCGATATTTCCCACTTTTTATCTTTGTGTTTCTGTTTTGGGAGGGGAGATGGTTGGTTGAGCAGCATCTGTTTGATCATAGTGTCAGTGATGCTGCGTAGACAGGAATAACTGAAGTAGGGAGTCACGTCAGAGGTCTGGTCGTTTATTTACGTTATCAAAAAAAAAGACCCAAGTGTGTTTGTGCGTATATATATAATATAATTTGTGTGTTTGTGTAATATCGGTAAATATCGGTTGTCGACCATAACATCAATAATTATATCGGATATCGATATCGGCTGAAATGTTCAGATCGGTGCATCCCTAGTTTCAGTGGACTGTAGATGAAGCAGAGTCAGTGCTGACGTGCAGCAAAAAGAATTTATCATTATGAAGCTACCTCAGTTAGCCTGCTCCCCTCAGCACACACAGCTCCACTGTTAAAGCTCCACTCAGGTGTTGTGTTTAAACTACACTACAGGTCTTAAAGGGAGTTTAGCATTCATATATATATAAAAAATGAGGCAGACGAGGAAAGTGACTCGTTTTTCCACTCCAGTTTGTCCCTAAAGAGGATTTATAGAAGCTTTTGATGCCTGGGTACGCTTGTGTACTTGTTTTTCCTGAGACAGAATACCACACGTACATTTATTCCTCATTCTGAGCTTTGCAGCGTTGTACTTTTTTTTTTTTTTTTTTGTTCAGGAAAATAATTGTCAGACAGTTAAAGCCCAGCACTGTCCTCGAACATTTGATGTGTCGGTTTATTGAGCGCGGATCAAAGGGGTCTGGCCTCCTCCTAAACTCTCGCCTCGGTCATCAAGGGAAAAGACTGAGCGCTTTCTAGATCAGCAACTCGTCCACGCACAGAATCAGAGCTAACATTCTTTCCAAAGCAATGGATTATGGGGGATTATCGGGGGTGTAAGAAATTCTCCTCTGTAAGTCGTCTGTGTCTGAGTGTGTTTGTGTGTGTGTGTGTGAGACAGAGAGAGAGTGTGAGCTTCATCGTCAGCGTCTTCATTAGGCATTGATTTCACCCGAGTGATTGACGGCCTCGCAGCTGCTAGTCCCTCATCACACACGCACACACAGGAACACACTCAGTGCTAATTCCAAGTCTTTCTTCCCATTAGATTCTCCAGACTCTGGACCTTCATCCAGTGAGACTGGAGGAACGACCTACTCGGCCCCCGTGGGGCTTTCAGGTAAAATCCTCACCAATCTTCTTCCTTCTTATCATCTCCCTCTGTTTTCCTTCTCCTTTGCATTCCTCTCAACACACACACATCCATCTCCCCTCCATGCTTGTGATGATGAGGCAGTGGTTGTGGGGGCCCCTGCTTCCCCTCTGTAATAAAAAAAAAAGCCAGTGAGGGAGGAGGAGGGTGGTGTAGTTCTCCCACAGCCACATAAATTCTTCCCTCCTGGCTCTTTGAACAGTGCTGCTCTCTTCTCCTCTTCCTCGCTCGCGTTGCTTTCTGTGTGATGTTGTAATGGAAGACAAACACACCGGGCTGTTGTTTGTAGAAAAATATGTTCATGTCGGGGGGGGCTTTAACTGAGTGTTTGTTTCGGTACAGGGTTTGTCTTTGTAGACGAGGAGCCCTCTTCAGGGCTGTGTGTGGATAAAGACGGAGACACAGGTGCCTTTCTTGCCTTTTTTTTCCCCTTCTTCCAGCTCTTGATACAGGAAATGTTTTGGGCTTCCTTAGCATTTCTTCTTTAATCTCCCGTTGGCAGTGTCACCCTCCTTTACCCAGCCACAGGCTGCAGGAAAAAAAAAAAATTTTTATAAGACAGGGATTGCTCCGTGCTGCTCTCTGCTTTGGTTTCACTGCAGATGGTTCTCATTATTGAGCCTTTAAAGCCTGTTTTATGTCAAGTTGGTGTTCCCTGCCCATTCCCCCCCCTCCTCCTCCTTTGTTTGGTGGTAGGGGGTGGAGGGCTGCTTGTTTGTGTGTCTGTACATTTTAGGAGGGTGGAGAGATCAAGAGCAGAAGATCCAAAAAAAAAAAAAAAGAGAGAGAGAGAGAAATAACACTCCCCTCCACTTCTTCCTCCAGACCATCAGATGGACACTAAAAGTCTTCCCGGGGTGCATTAACTAAAGACACATTTCAGACACAGTTCAAACTGTAAAACCCAAGAAGTGGAGGCTCAACAGCCCCCCACCCCCACCCCACCCTCACCCCCTCATAGCTTTCTCCGCCTCTTTCCTTCCCACCTCCTCCTCTGTTTTCCTTCCTGGGGATGACATGGCAGCGGCAGCCAGCAGTTTAGTGAATGGGCCTCCTCTGTGAGAGCAGGAGACAGGGCTGGGGCATGATGGCCAAAGTGCTCTGCCCTCCTGATATCCCTGATGAGCCAAGAGAGTGAGAAAAAGGCTAATCCATTTCTCCTCTCTCCCCCTCCCTCTCTCCTCGCCTGGTTCCCTGCTCTGCTCCCTCCCTCTGGGGCCCTGACAAAAGAAACATGGCTCTCCCAGAGGCCCGCTGCTGACCTTCTAATTCACTCACTCTGCCCTTTTTATGTTCTTCTTCAGACAAATTCACAAAGAAGAGGGGGGCAACTAAGACTTGAAGTCAGCAAGAGTTCTGCAGCTGCCTTTTTTTTTTTTTGCATTGATTGAGAATAATGAAGAACTCACTGTCTTTGAGAAAGAGTTCAAAGGCAAGTGGGTAATTTACCTAAAAACATGGTTTAGACACAAGCAGGAGAGGTGAAGCTGCTCCCCTGTTTATGCATCCTGGAAAAAAAAACTAGATCATTCAGGCTGGAAGGAGTCAAACGAACTGTGACAGCGACAAGCGCAAATGCAAACTAGGCTGCCTGCCAGGCTAGCAGCTCCAAAGCTCCCCTCGCCGGCTCGCGTCATCAGCTTGGAACAGAGCAGAGGGGAAGAGGAGAGGAGAGGACGGCTGGAGCCGGGCGCCGAGGCACCGATCTTGGTTTAGGCTTGGAAAAGGGGGGGGGGGGGGGGGTTATGAAATGGAGATCAGGTCGGGGTTAAGAGGGTGCTGCTCTGTTGATTACGAAGCTGTGGAGTGTTAAATAACAAAAGTTATGAGCAGCTTAGGAAGTATTCCTGTTGCCACCCATCCTTCTTTATTGTGTTTCTTTTTTTTTTTTTTTTTTGGTCAAGCTAAAAGAGATCCAGAACATTTTGGTTTTGTTTTATTTTGTTAAGCTTTAAAAGTTTTACTGGGTGGGGGGGGGGGTGTGTTGTGGTCAGGCTTGAAAATTTCAGTTTCCTGCTCAAGAACTTTGACTAAATACGAAACTGACAGCAAAATATCTAAATGGACCGATCGCAGCCTGACATAAACCCGACGCTAGTCGGGCAGTGGTTGCCAAATTTTCTGACACGTTTCCTGAACGTTACTGATGAGGAGCGTCACTGAGCACGTCCAGCATCGGTCGTCTTGAACGGACAGTTCTGTTTGAGCCTGGAGTGTGTCGCACCGCTGTGTGTATGTGTCGGTGGCGTGCCTGTTGGTGCCATTTGGGTCTGCCCCGGAGTGCCTGCGTGTAAGAGGATCCAGTCGGGCTGTGCTGACATGAACACACACACACACACATTGACATATATACACACAGGCAGGCAGATAAAATGACCCGGTGCGAATCCTGGCGCACGGCCGATTGTCACACAGGCGCTTCCTCCCACTGCAGGTTAAATTTAGGCTGGAGTTGTATTCTTATTCTGCCAGCCAGTCACCTACCTCGACAGACAGTCACCCAGCCCCTCCAGTCAGTCAATTAGTCATCCAGTGAATTGGAACCTTCATCAGGGGCTCTGATGAAGATTAAATTTAGTCTTGGCACCTCGGCTCATTAAATCAACCCAGTTCTGCACTCCTAATGAAGCACCCCTCTTCCATAAAGCCCCCAACCTTCTTCTGCAAACTTAAGGACCCCAAAAAAGAGCTCGTCTTGATTTGCTTGTTGTGATGTTTGAAGCGATACCTCCATTTCGAGCAATTAGGAGCCTCAGAAACAGAGCACCCTCAGTCTCCCTCGCCTCCTCGCAGCATTCCTGTCTTGTTTGGGTTAGCACGGAGAGGAAAGGGCCGCGCAGGATATGACCTCATGTCTTTGAGGAAAGGGCAAACGAACAAGGAGGCAGTCGAGGCCTCGTCTTGACGAAAAACAAACACTGCACCGACCCAAAAGAGACACGCCAAAAAGGAAGGACGTTGAGCGTTTTGTGTCGGTTCTACAAAGAGGGTGGGTGGGTG